AAGCGCCTCTCCCCCAAACGGGCCACATCTGCCTGCACACAGAGCAGTGCTGCAGGAAACAGAGGGAGAAGGACAAGGCCAAAAGGGTGAGACAGGAAGACCAGTCCCAGAATTCATCTCCAGCAATGAACTAACAGGAGTTCAATTTTCTCAAACCATTTTCAGGCCTTTAGAGGTCGGACAGCAACACAAACCAGATCGAGAATGTCAAAACCAAAATACTTCCAAAGCGAGCAAACCAAAGAGATACCTTAAAGCAAACACTATGAAAAAAACCCAAACCAAAAGGTATGTGACAAATAAGGTCCTTAAACAACCAGCTCACATACTGTTTGTTTTGTTTTGTTTTGTTTGAGACAGGGTCTCCCCGTAGCCCCAGCTGGCCTGGAACTCACTATGCAGACCAGGCTAGTCTTGAACTCAGAGATCTGCCTGCCTCTGCCTCCTGAGTGCTGGGATTAAAGGCGTGTGCCACAACACCTGGCTTCAGATACTGTTTTGTATAAACAACTGGCACTTAAAAGTTTTGTGAAACACTTATAGACCTAGGGACATTGTCCAATAAATTTAAAGACATTTAGGATACCCAAATTTATAAGGCCTTTGAATGTACTATCAAAATATCCTTATTTATAAATCTACACGTGTATTTTAATTAGGCATGCCAAAATAAACCAAAATAAAACCAATAATTCTGTGCACAATAAATGAATGAAAATAATAACTGAAGTGGCCGGTTTGTTTTGACAGAAACATATGAAGACAATAATCACAGACACACATGACAGAACTACTTGAGATCTCAGCACAGGAGACATAATGACATAGTTACATGAAATACCAAACCACACAGAAAACAATTATCACAGACACACGTGACATAATTCCACTAAAACTAGGTGTACCCAAAACACGAAAATCAAAGAGTTCCTGTGAACGGCATAAGCAAGTTTAAGATTGAAAGAGCCTATAGATGGCCAGTCGAGACCAGGAATCTGTGTCCAGTCCAGCTCACAAAGGGTACAAAGTCTGGGGGCCTTAGGCTTAAACCCCATACCCTCAGTTCTCTCCCTGAAATCAGAAAGGTTGTTCAATGCACACTGTAACGGGGTAACACTCTTAGACACACTCTGACCCATCATGAACACAGATACAACTCCTAACCACAGAATAAGACAAGCACAGGCAAATAACACGAACCAGGTTGCCACTAAGTCCAGGTTCCAGAAAAATGACCAAACTTTGGACTTAGTGACCAGGCAGGTCCGGGGACGTCTCCTCTGATACCCGAGTAGGGGGTGGTTTGCTGCGTACAGCTTCCCACCTAGTAAGTCTGATCAGATCCCAGAACCAAATCCAGATGGTGAAAAGGTCGCTGGCTAGCCAAAACCAAAAGAGAAACCAAGATGAAAGCTGTTTCCTGAGCGTGCTCTTACCTTGCTAGAAGTGCGGTGAGAGATGCTGGAGATGCCAGAGGACTGGGGAAGACAGAAGCAGCTGGGACTGAGCAGCAGGCCCCTTTCACAGGGATTTCACTGAACCACCAGGCCCGCAAGGCCCTCTGGATCTCGGTGGAGCCTCCAAATGTTACGGGTCTGCAATCGAAACCGTTTTGGTAGAAAGTAGCAAGGCAAGACTTTATTACAACCGCTGGGCTGTCTGCATCGGGAACAGAAGCAGCTGTGCTTTTGTTTTTTGAGGCAGGGTCTCTCTCTGTAGCCCTGGCTAGCCTGGAAGAAACGGGCTTTGACATTCACCAGTTGTTACCTGGGTTGCTATGGTGATTCCCAGCTCAGCTCTTATCAGACACATACGTTGAGCATTCTACGGAAGAGGTTTCTCGCTCTCTTCCACTTGCCTATGGTCTCTCAGGACTTTAGCCTTTAGCTCTGTCCTTTAGCCTTGCAGCTCACTGTCTAGATGTGGCTAGCCGAGGTCCTGTGCTTTCCCGATGTGTTCTCTGTCCTGTTTTGGCATTTTTTTTTTTTCCTTTGTGGCCCAAGATCTTTTCGTTCTATTTTACGTTTCCCATCTCAGCTCTAGAAGGAGTTCTGTTCCTTACGTTGGAAACGGAGACCTGGCCATTGATCACGCACACCGCGACTGAGGCATCCTTTCTGAGCCCTTCCAGAAGTTCCCATCAGAAACCGAAGTTTGTGGTGATTTATTCTCCTTCCCTTTTTCTCTCCCTCCCTCTGCCCCTTTCCGCCCTTCCTTTGGCTACACAGGCTCTCACTGTATAGGTCTGGTTGGTTTAGAACTCACCTTGTAGCCCAGGCTGGCTCCAAACTTTTGGCAGTCTTCCTTTATGTGCTGGGATGACAGGCTTGTGCCCCCAGGCCAGCTTCCTCTGAGTTTTGATGATTCTGTATATAATGGGGATGTTATTGGCACTCAGTGAACCGGTCTCAAAGACTGCTGTTCATGTACTGCTCTGCTGATGGTGTTCTCTGCTGCCCCATTATTAGTTGGATGTGTTTTTCTTTTGTGTTACTTCTGGATTTACGCCTGAGGGCCTTGCACCTGTTCAGGTTTTGAAATAATCTCCCCGCAGAGCAGGCTTTGAGTTTCTTTCTGTTTTCTGTAGACCCAGAGCTCGTGTGTTTGGTGTCTGCTGTGGGTTGAGTTTTACCTTTTCCCACTGGCGTCCAGGTGCCGTCCTTCAGAAGCTGTCGTCTGTCATTCCAGGCTCTGTTGTGATGCTGGAGGACTTGGATGCTTGCCCAGCTTGGCCTCCAGGCTGCAGGAGCCCCATGCTGGCTCCACTAGGACCAGCAGCATCTCTGTGGCAGGCTTGACTTTGTGCGTACTAGCTTTGAGGCATGAGCCACCTGGTCTAGTGCCACATGTGACCATGGCCTGTCTGAAGCCCACCTGATTCTTGGTGGCTTTGCTTGTCTCCGCTTTATCCCTTTTCTGCTCCAATATGTCCATTCGCCGAAGTTTCCAGCATTCGACCTTGCATACAATCTTTGCACAAAGTAAGAACAAGTGGCCATCTTGCAAGTGATTAAAGGACTGTCTGGTGACCCCGGGGAGCCTTTGCAACGGGGTGGCTCACACGTGCCCACATCCTTGCATTTCCTCCAGTATGGGTTACAGCCAGGCATCGATTTTCCTATCTGCCCTCCAGATGTGGATCTTGATAACTGGGTCTCATTGGCTCACAATCGTGGTAGGTGTGGGCTTTCAAAACTGTGGACGTCAGGAAAGATCAGGCCTCTGTGCGCTATTATTTTTAGAACTTGTTATTTTATTGAGTGAAATTAAATCAGCCTGGCCCAGTAGACTCTTCAGAGAGCTAGGCTCTGGCTCCCTTCTTACAGATGATGTGGATTTTGGTTGCTTCCCTTGGAATGTGTCCTCCAGCTGTATAGTAAGCAGAAGCACACACTCAAGGAGCACAGCCACTCGCATCTTCCTTCCACAGGGCAGGCAGTGTCTGGGGACTTTCCCTGTTTTTGATCTTGTGTTACAGAAGAGATGTAGTCCTGTGGGAGTGATGACCTCTTGCCACCCCCCCCCATGCCTTTTCTTTCCCTTTTTTTGCAAGGGAATAACACTCAGGAAGGGGATGGTAATTTGTTAGAGCCAATCGGATATATCAAGAATCCCAGTCATCCGTAAAACATTAAGTTTTGCTTGACACATATCACAAACATGAAAGGCATGCAGACCTCTGGGCCGAGCACCATGGTCAGGGCCGGATGAGCATTAGATGCAGTGACTCTGTCATCTTGAGAACTAGGGGTGCCTCGACTCCTCTAGACCCTGTCCACCAGCAGGAGCGGCCAGGACAGGGCCCTCCCTGCAACTGCCGTGGCTTGCAGGAGAGAGTAAGCAGAGGGGCAATCGGCCCAGGTGCTGCTTCCTCTGGAGCATGCGTGCCGCCCTCTGCTCCAGAGGGATCTGTGAGTGCCCGGGGCTTGTGACCCCAGTTCTTGGATTTGAATCTGGTTCTTCCAAGAACATGTCCTCATCTTGTTACCAAGTGCTCTTCCCTCTCATTTCCGTGACTTTCACAAACTCCGCAGGGTGCCGCACCCCGAGCTGCCTGTCTGCCTCTGCTCTCTGCTAGAGCTCTTTTCCTTGCACTGGAAGAGCGTCTTGCATGAGGCATTTTCTGTTCCCCACTTGCAGTCTCTTGGCTTGTCTGTGTCCATCACAATCCTTCTTTCCACTTATCTCTCATCCTCTGTTTTGTTCCAAAAAGCATGTGAATTAGAGTAAAATCACGCAGGTGGGAAAACCCGCCGGGATTGGAGAGCCTGGTAAGACATGCACTTTCATGGTGCTGTTGAGGTATGGGACGCGAACTCCTGAACTCCTGCTTGGCTGCCCTGAGCTGCCAGTAAACACCAGGGGAGCAGGATTTGTGGGAAATGCCTCTGTCTGTAAGATAAACAGATGGCTTAAAGCAGCTCAGTCTTTCCTGCCACCAAGGCTTGGGCGGAGAGTAATGTTCCATGAAATCAAAGAATATTCTTTCTTTCTTCCTTGCTGGAGCTTTCTGTGGGCCACCTATGTTCTGATGATGGAAATTTCTCAGAACTCTTTATCCACGTGAGTTAGGTGGCAAAGGTTGGTCAGAAATAGAAAATGACAGCTGTGGAGAGGAGACTGGCTCCCGAACGTTACTTTCTAGAATGCTCTGCAGTGCAGGGTGTGGTTTGGACAGGTCCCCGCTCTGAGGCTGCGGCTGGCACCCTGGAGCACGCAGAGTCCAGCCGACTTCGAGCCGGTCATTGTCCGCTTGCTGCTTTTGCCTGATATATTTCATGTTCTTTAATAAAACTTCACAGGGAGGGAAACCTATGCTGAGTTAATTAACGTTTCACACGATGCGGCAATGTAGGGAGTGGCTTAGCTATGAAGACTGAACACGGTTCAGTGTTTAACTTCAGTGCGACAAATTTGGGTTTTCTCAACTCCGCTTTAAACCAGTAGAGAAACAAGACAGGAGCAGGCAAAGACTGTTTCTTCTCTTTCTGTGTCTGCAGGTGCCCTCACCACCAACGGCATAAACCCTGACACCAGCACTGAGATTGGGCGGACCAAGAACTGCCTCAGCCCCGAGGACATAATTGACAAATACAAAGAGGCCATTTCCTATTACAGCAAGGTGACTTGACATTTAAAAAATATTTTTATTTTATGTGCATGAATGTATTGCCTGCATGTGTGTAAGTGCACCCGTGCACTTGTTCAGGGAATTCAGAAGAGGGCATTGAATCCCCTGGAACTGGAGTTATGGACAGTTGTCAGCCACTATGTGGGTGCCGAGAACCAAACCTGGGTCACCTAACTTCCACCTAATTGCCAGGAATGAGCCTCAGTGGCCACCTAGAGTGCTGCGTCAATGGGCATTTCAATGTCACCTCTGTGGCACAGCAGGGGAGTTGGGGGCCCTGTCCCTGAAGTGACCCTGTCATCAGAGTGCAGAGCACACAGGCACTTGAGTGTGGACAGAGCTCCTTGCAGTCTCCAGTCCTCTGACCATGTGCTCTGCAGCCTCTGAGACTATTTTCTCCTTTCTCTGCTGCGTGGACTGCTTTGTCAGGGTCAGTGGCTTTCCGTATATAAATGGCCAGCACAGTGGCGGGCTAAAGCACTGGTTATGGCCTGGTCTTCCTTACTCCAGTGTTCGAGGCAGCTGGGGAAGGCCAGCTCCTCATATGCATGCAATGCAGGTTGAGGGAGAAAATCAGTGTCCTGCCTCTCAGCTGCATGCTTGTCTCTGTCCTTCCCTGAGCCCTTTAGCTGCTTTCTCCTCCCTGAGGGAGCCCTAGCCTTTCCCATGCTACCCAGACCCCTGGTTAAGGATGGCAGCAGTGACCCAGGGAACATGTGCACATGGTAATGGATTTGCATATGCACGGGCACGAATAAACACACGTACACACATGGGTGCACACATGTACGTACACACTGGGAAGCACCAGCACTTGGTTTTCATTCACAGAGACACTGCAGCAGGCTGCCCTGGAAGGCTCTGACCTGCTTTGTTAGTGACTTCCCTCTGGACTTCTGAACTTTATCCCAGGACGTTACACTGTGTTAGAGATGAGGTGGAGAATCGGCATGCTGCTGAGATAGTGGGTTATCATATTTGACTTGGAGGGAACTTCAGACAGCGTGGGGCCTCACATCTTTCTTTTCTGTAGGTGTAAGAAAACAGGCTTCAGGAGGTCACCTCTCTCTGTTAGTATCACATGTATGTAACTTGGCCATCGTCATGGGTGCATGGTGTTCGGCTCCTGTGATAAACAATGTGACCAACACAATGTGGGGTGGAAAGTATTTATTCGACTTACAGGTTACAGCTCATCATTGAGGGAAGTCGGGGCAGGAGCTCAAGGGAGGGAGCCTGGAGGCAGGAGCTGAAGCAGAGACCATGGAGGAACACTGCTTACTGGCTTCCCCTCCCTCCCTCCCGCCCTCCCTGAGACAGGGTCTCACTGTGTAGCTGTGGCTGACCTGGAACTCTATATAGACCAGACTGGCCTCAAACTCAAAGAGATCCACCTACATCTGCTTCCCGAGTATGGGGACTAAAGGCCTGCAGCATCATACCCAGCTCAACTACCTTTCTTATGAGAGCTGGTTCCTCCTTTATCAATTAGCAATCAAGAAAATACCCCCCCAACAGGACCACAGGCCAATCTGATGGAGGTCATCCTTTAACAGAGGTTTCCCCTTCCCAGGTGTGTGTCAAGTTGGCGACTGAAGCTTACGATGACACACAGTGGGCAGTGGTCTGGAGGTCAGAGAACTGTTCTTTTGGTCCCATGTCTTGGCAGAGCCGTCAGAGCCCATCTGTTATCACTTTTGCCACCCCCCCACCGCCCTTACCATAAGAGGTTCTGACAGAACACTCAGCCTTCCAGATCTTTTTTGCTGACTTGGCTGTAGCTTGAGAATAAGTCCTGAGATGCTCTTGGACACAAACTCCATGTTGCTATAGTTTACTGCCCAGTCCCACAATGTCTAGGGCCAGCGAAGGGCAGATCTGGTCAAAGTGAGGAGGACTGTCCATGGTGCTGAACTCACTCCCTGTCCCTAGGAAATAATGTGTCACTTTAGGTTTGCCTTCTGGCAGCCTTGAATTCAAAACTGGCCTCACCAATTACTAGCTTTGGAACCTTGAGCAGGAAGCTGCTTTGTTTGGGTGCCCTTCATCTGTAAATGAGGGCAGTATTTGTTTTAGGGACTTTGTTTCAGAATTGGGTGTGGTAGGTCCCTCTTTAGTTCTGAAAGTGCTGCCTGCTCTGTCCTGGGATCTTGATGAGGAGTCCTTAGGTGGGGTGGTCTCAGGCCCCACCACCCAGATGCATGTTCAAATGTCACCTGCGGAGTAAGCAGCAGACTCCCAGCAGCCATCGCCCTTGAGTAGTAGGCAATGCATTTTGAATAACTTTTCATGATTGCATTTTTAATCTCTTTGTAATACAATTTAAAATATGTATATTTAACCAAAATAAGTGGAAGTCTACTTGGGTTGACATTTATTCTGACCTATGTAGAAACTGTTTTAAGAGTTCTGGAGGAAGCTGGGTGTGGTGGCACATGTCTTTAATTCCAGCACTTGGGAGGCAGGGGCTGGCAATGTCTGTGAGTTTGAGTCCATCCTGGTCTACCTAGAGAGTTCCAGGCTAGCTGGGGCTACATGGAGACCCTGTCTCACAAAGACCGAAAAAAAAAATGGTGTATACAGTTGGTGTATTTTTAACTTGAGTATTGTTACTTAAGTACAAACACTTTCCCTTTCTATCCATCTGACAAATTGGGTGTAAAATGTGACACTTTTCATGTTATGGATAGGGAAAAGAAGGAACAGGCTTTGCCCTTTCTGTCACAGTAATTATAAATAGATATTTTTTTTTTTTTTGAGACAGGGTCTTCCTGTATCCCCAGCTGGCCTAGAACTCTCTAGTTATGTAGACCAGGCTGGCCTTGATCTCACAGAGATCTTCTTGCCTCTACCTTCCCGAGTGCTGGGATCAAAGTGTGAGCACCACACCCAGCTTACAGTATAGCTTTCTGAGGCTTGGCACGTGGATGGGCTACTTCTGTTAGCAGTGCGCACGTGCGCGTGCACGTGTGTGTGTGTGTGTGTGTGTGTGTAGGGGGGTGGGCCTGTGATTGACTGAACATATTGGAATTCTGGATGTGGCAGGTAAAAAGATAAAAAGATAGAGGTAGAGGAGCAGCTAGCATTGAGGAGTTGGCTGCAGAGCCTTGGGGGAGATAGTGTGTGGAGGGAGGCAGAAGAGACCTTTGCCCTGGGACCACTGTCCTTGCTGTCTGGGGACACCATGGAGACTGACAGAACTCAGGGTGAGGCCGGAGAAGACTTACCCAGGCAGGGCACCGTGTCATTACATGGAGCCCCACAGAGCCCGTTCTGTTCTGATGCCTGTGCTTATCTCAGGAACTGTAGTGAGTGACATGGGGACAGGTGCTCTAAGACAGAAGCCCAGTGGCCCTGGACATGCAGGCGGCCAGGATGTCTGCAGGAAAAGGCAGCAGATCACCAGCTGTTGTGTGAAAGATGCTGGTGTAAGAGAAGCATTAGGGAACCAGTTGATGACAGGTGGGGCTGATGGCAGAGCCTCTATTGATGATGCAGGCTGAGCATCCCTAACCCACACATACAAACCCCCAAATCCAAATTCCTCTAAATGCCACTCACTTCTGATCTCCAGTATGTTGGGTAAGTATCCTTAGCCTGGAAGGATATTAGACAGTCAGGATTGTGTAGTTTGACTCAATGCAGACACACATGGGCAGTCACAGGTTTACTCCAACCTGTTGTATACCTATTAAGATAGATTTTTCAGAGATGACTTTTCCCCACTTGGGGTGGGAGGGTCTCAGGGAGGTGCTTTTGGGGGATTCTGGAGCCTTAGCTACAGCTCGATGTCAGGGTGGAAATGTCCTTGCTCTTTGCTGATGGGGTGTCTGCTCCATTTCCGCAGTATAAGAATGCAGGGGTGATTGAGCTGGAAGCCTGTGTGAAGGCCGTGCGGGTCCTGGCTATTCAGAAGCGCGGCATGGAAGCTTCAGAGTTTCTGCAGAATGCTGTATACATCAACCTCCGGCAGGTGAGTGCCTGCCTGCCTTCCTGCCTGCCACCACGGCAGGTACTCGGCTCTCCTGGAATGCATCATGCATGAGTCAGCTCTGAGATAGTATGGCAGTTTAAAATTTAAGGAGTCATAGCCCAAGAGCCAAATGAACATGACTATTTGTCTTTTTCATTTTGGGGTATTATACTGAGAACTCAGGTATTATACTTTTTCCAGTTTTCTGGTTGGGGTGATAATTTTGTTTCTTGCCAGCACTGCATCTATTTGTAATGCTGGGCTGCTGGGTTTTTTGTTTTTGAGACAGGCTCTTGTAGCCCCAGCTGGTCTGGAACTCGCTATGTAGACCAGCCTGGCCTTGATCTCACAGATCCTATCTCTGCCTCCCAAGTGCTGGGATTAAAGGTGTGGCCCACCATGCCCTGTTTGACTCTTGGGGGCTGGTCTTTTTAAAGACAGGGTCTCCCTGTAGCCACAGCTGTCCTGGAATTGACTATGTAGACCAGGCTGGCCTTGAACTCAGAGATCTTGCCTCTGCCTCCCTAGTGCTGGGATTAAAGGTGTGGCCAACCATGTCCAGTGATGCTTGGGTTTTTGAAACATGAAGTTCATATGGCTTTGGAAGAACTGTGTAGGCTCCTTTATACAGTAGGCACTTCCCAAATGTTCATTAAATCTGAGCCTGAGTAGGGTGCCAAGGATTGAACCCAGGGCCTCCTACATGCTAGGCAAGCACCCTGGACTCTGGGTTGCATCCCCAGCTCTTGAAGAGGTTTTTAATAAAACAGTCATGAAAATGTTTAGTGGTAGATTGACAGGGCCACTTCCTAACCCGGAGGCTAGCACGCCGTTAGCCGTGTATGTAGCCAGGTGGAACTGAGCTCCATAGGGAAGCCAAGTGGGCCCGCACTCCAGCAGGCAGCAGTAGGCCTAAGGACACTGCGGCTGAACAGGTACCCTGCTAAGGTAGACCTGGAGAGAAGTGGGCTGCTCTGCTGAAGGCAGGGGTTGAAGTGGATGAGTGACACAGTTTGGAGGGACTGGTGCCAAGGCAGTAGGTGTGCAAAGGCTCTAACCTAACATGGTAAGCACCGGGGACCTTGAAAGTGGCCTCTAAAGGACCAATAGGAGATTGCCGGGTAGCTGACTTCACAGAAGCCTCGGTGGGCAGACAGAGGACTCACTCGGATGTGGAGAGGTGTAAAAGGGAGGGAGGGGGTGAGTAGAGAGGAGGGGAGGAACAGGGAGCGCTGAGTCTCAGCAGGAGGGCGTAGACTTTGGGGTCTGCTCTAAGAGCAGAGAACAGGGTGAGATCTATGTGGAGGAGGGCAGGATGGAGGAGACCCAGCTTGCAGAGCCTGGCATCCAGGGGGGCATGAGGTGTCTGTGAGGCCAGGGGGGCATGAGGTGTCTGTGAGGCCAGGGGGGCATGAGGTGTCTGAGGCCAGGAGGGTATGAGGTATCTGTGAGGCCAGGAGGGTATGAGGTATCTGTGAGGCCAGGCTTTTGTGGAAAAGCAGGTAGGCTGAAAACAGGAAGGCCTGGTTTCTAAGGATCAGGGTCAGGTAGAATAATTGATTTCTGCTAGACTGATCAGGCTGGGCTCTGAGAGGCAAAGGGCAGACTGTGTCATGGGGGCCACTGGGTGAGACTGGGCGAAGGGCAGGCAAGGGCACCAGGATCATTTCTACCAGAACATATGGCAAGTGTGGTGACAGACAGACAACCATCTCTGTCACCTGGGTTTAATGGACTGCTACACTGCCGTGTTGATTGCAGAGATTCTTATATATATATATATATATATATGTATGTATATATGTATATATATGTATATATATATTTAAATGGAAAATAATAACAGAACTAACCTGGGGCTGGAGAGATTGCCCACTGGTTAACAATGTGTGCTGCTCTTGAAGACGACCTGAACTCGATTCCCAGCACCATGTCAGGTGTCTCACACCTGCCGATTAGGTCAGCTCCAGGAGCACTGATACCCTCTTCTGGCCTCTCTGCGTATATACCCTCACACATACACATAATAATAACAACAGCAACAGCAACAACAAAGGACTATCTTAGAGTTGCTGAGCGCCTTTCCTGTTCATCATTTAATTATATCCAGTATATTTAAAAAAGTGCTGTCCTTTGCCATGATGGAATCTGGTGCTTGGTGTGCTCATTAACCTCTCTGCACCGTGCTTGCTGCAGAGTGCATACACTGCCCCTCAGGCTGCTCAGACACTGGGGTGAGGCTACTTTACAGTATATGAAGTAGCAGTTGTCAGCTCAACCCTAGAGGGAGAGAGAAATGCAGGTAAGTCCCATTTAATGTAGGGAGGTGCACACGGCCTCAAAGGGAGCCATACCATGTGTCCTTAGAAAGGGCAGGAGAGGCCATGACTTGTGTTCTCTGTTGGTTTCCAGTAACCAGGAGCAGGGAGAACAAGAAATGTGGTGCTTTGACGTTGACGCTTCAGTTACCTGGGAAACAGCCCAAGGCAAGATGTTAGCCCTCCGTGATACTGGGTAAACAAGAGCCCAGTGCCTGGGATTTACTGTTTGACTCAGTTGTCAGGTGGCCAGGCCATGTTTTTTGTTTTTCTATTGATTTGTGTGTGTCTGTACATACATATAGGTGTGCGTGCACCATAGCTTGTCTGCGGAGATCTGAGGATAACTTTCAGGAGTCTATTCCTTCCTTCTACCCTGGGGGTGCCAGGAATTGAATTGAGGTTGTCAGTCTTGGCAGTAAGCGCCTTTACCTGCTGAACCTCTTGCCAGCCCCTAGGGCTGTGTTTCTCAGGGATGTTGAGGGTATAGTCCTTGTGGAAGACTGGAGGGCAAGATGCCCTGTGCTGAGCACACACGGAGACATTCAGGACAGCTGAGACCCCCAGAGCTGAGTGTGGGAGGCCCTACCTCCCACCGGAGGGAAAGGGCCCATCAAGGTGCCCGAGGAGCAGAGTTGGGCGCAAGACCCCCTTGGGCTGGAGCAGTGGTTAGGTTGGCATAAAATTGTAAAGAACTGTGAGCCACCGAGCAGCCTGAGCACTTCATAGCAAGTGGATTGGACCTTGGCATAGGCCGTACTTCTAAGTCAGGAGTCCTGGATCTCATCAGGGAGGTTAAGAGAGGGTCTTGGGGTGGGGTGGGCCTTCAAGTTCATGGTGGTCAGGAGGTTAGATTACACTGTCCTGTGGAGGGAGTCTGCAGTGGCCAGGTGCTGTTATCATCAGGCTGGGGAGTCTGGGGGGCCAGCTTTGAGAGAGGGTAGAGGCTGGAAGCAGATCTAGAAGGCCTGAGGGTGGGGCATGGAGTCTGCTGGCCTTAGCTGGCACTGGAGGACAACTCTGCGGACCTGTGGGCCCTAACCCACTGCAGTTCCCGCAGTTGCCTCTGCAGGTTAAGGTTAGGGGATTTGGACTTGATGCAAAGCTGTTTTCACAGGTGGGCATGTAAATACACATATTTCACAAAATAAAATGTTTTCACTAAAAAACCTTGTGGGCGTTTGTTGCAGGTTGGACCAGCTCTGCTATCGCAGTTCTCCGACTCAGGCAAACACTAGAGGGCAGCAATGTTCTGTGGGAGGCCGAGACCCCGCGGCGCTGCGCCTGGGTAGTTTCTGGCCTTTTGCATTCTCCCCAACTCTGAAGGCACTTTGCTGTAGTTGACTCATCCGAATGTCTGCCTGCCAGATGAGCAGGGAGCAAAATAATGAGTTCTGGTGGGATTTCATAATCGCAGTAAAGAGAAAGGCCTGTAGTCTTTCTGAAATAGAAACAGCGTTGGTTCTTGATCAAGTGTGTTCTGTGTGGGACTGACAGGCTGTATCTATAACCAGGGAAAGATTTTGGCAAATGTAGAAATTTTGAAAGGAGCTAAGATATGATTATTGCAGGTCCAAAAATCTCCACATGAACATCAAGACTGGTAAATAATGCATTTGGGTTTAGTGGAGCTGGGAAGGGGTCTCTACAGAGCCCTTCACAGAATCCCTCCTTATGAGCAGGCACAGGGTGACCTGCCAGCTGTGTTGGCTGGTTTAGGTGAGTGGTTTGTGGTGATTATGTACCACTCCCAAATGGCAACAAGCATTCCATCAGGAGCTGGCTGTGTCTAGATCTGTGTGCTGGCCATGAAGGTTTCACAGGCAAATGGCAAGTCTCCTTAGATGAGTGCGAAGAGGTTGGGACGCCCCCAGACTCGGGCTTTGTTCACCGTTTTCTCGTGGTGTGACCAGAGGAGCTGTGCACTCTCTCAGCCTGCTTTCAGATCTGTAGAACTCCTGGTAAGCTGAGAGTGGCACAGTAACACAGGCGTGTTGTGGCCCAGCTGCTGGACACACAGGGCGTTGGGGAGACATACGTGCCTCACTGGTATCCATTCACAGACACTTCTTGAAGAGTGAATTTGCCTGTTTCTTTCAGTTCTCATGATTCTGTGATCCAAGTATACACCTTCAGTTTACAGAGAGGGAAGCTCAGGTCAAAGGGATGTAGTATTGTGGAAGGCCCAGAGTCAAACCGCGACTTGGAGGTGAGGGGCCTCTGGCAAGTGTGCTCCTGCGTGCCTTCCTTCAGGCATGCCCTCCACAGGGTGTGGGTGGGAGCGGGCTAGGCTTGGTGTACCTGCTGCCTGGCTGCCTGCCATCAGAGTCCAGCAGGCAGCAAGTGGCTATGGTCCATGCTGACCAAGCTGATTTGTGGAGTGGGAGCCAGGTGCATCAAACATGGAGGCAAATAATTCCCAACTGTGTCAGTTCTAGAGAAGAAGAGAACGTGCCTGGGCAGCACTGGGGACCCTCTGGGGCAGCACTGGGGACCCTCTGGGGCAGCTCTGGGGACCCTCTGGGGCAGCTCTGGGGACCCTCTGGGGCAGCTCTGGGGACCCTCTGGGGCAGCACTGGGGACCGGACCCTCTGGGGCAGCACTGGGAACCCTCTGGGGCTGCACTGGGGACCCTCTGGGGCAGCTCTAGGGACCCTCTGGGGCAGCACTGGGGACCCTCTG